ACTCGGACTGTCTGCTACCGGTGAACTTCCTGGATTACGACTTGCCTTTCGCCTTTTGACTACGACCTTGCCTCTCGTTCTGGTTTGTTCGCCTGCCTCATCTATCACCCGTGCCTGTGTCTGCACAGGATCCGTGTATCTTCTCACCAGGGATTCCTAACAGTCACAGGTAGGTAATTAAAAAAGGTTTGGTATGATTTTGTTAACTGATTAATAATAATGAACTATACATTTGCAGATCACCCCATATGACCTTCACAACTTTTTACAAACGATTCGACCTTTGCTTCACGTAATGCAGTAAAAAGATGTTACCAGTGTAAAATTAGCACTTAACATGAGGTTAAAAAAAATATGAAGCAGTTTCATTTCCGAGACCAAGGGAAATTCTTAAAAAGGAGATGTGTAGCAATTATTCTGGAAGGCAGGCGGCTATGTTGTGTGTTTTCAATGCTGTCAGGAGGTCTTATGAATATTATAGTGGTTTAGCTGTCAGAAAGAATTTTGTAACATTTTGGGAATCAACAGTGCGTGAATGCCTAGACTGACATTTTTTTAATTAAATGCATACTATGACTGTTGATAACAATCCTCTTGACAATCATCTCAGCATTCCAATATATTTCTAAATGGAAATGTGTGAGGATTGACTCTCTAAGCATATTTTTCTGTTTGTTTATTTAAGCTTTATCTGAAGATGTGCATTCATTTTTTTTTTTATTGGTATATAAACATACTGGATTTCATTGTAATACCTGAAGGTGTTCTTTTTTTGGTATTTGGTAACAATTATATGACCCCCTATAAAGAATGTGGAACAAATTGCAAAAACATTTATCTTTTCTGGAGTGTTGCTTTGTCTTTTTGGTACAGTAGTTTTCTCACAGGTTTCAATAGTGTATGAAACAAAGAAAACAAATTGCGATTTCAGAGGAAAAAGGCCACTTTTTCCTTTTTTCCATGATGGAAAGCACTGTAATTCATATTTTATAACAACAAAATCCTCAACAAAGTTTCATAAGTATGAATTGTAGCTTCTTTTAATTACACTGCATTTTGTTAATTTTATACTCATTCACTTGGGTTGATTCTTCCTACAATCCTGCACATACTATACACCTCTGTGCCCTCTTATTACAATAGTGTGATTTGATGCAATTAAAGCTCCATAGTACAATCCTCAGGGCTAGCTGCTGTATGGCTTGGCAGGAAAAGTCTTACCAACTTCAGCTCCAGTAGCCCTCAATGTATGCTGCCTCTTGGGGAAACAATGCTCACTGTCAGCTTATAACAAAACCCAGACTCAAATCACTTATCCTGCTTTCCAGACAACTACTGTGTAAGTTTACTGGATGAACAGCTTGCAGGCCATAAGATTGTTTATAAATTCTACATAATTTCTTATTCCTACCCCTTGATAAAGTTTTTCATGACAGAAAAGCTCATTACTAAGCATCTCACCAACCAGTTATGCAAAGCTTTTAAAATATTCTAAACCATAGACAGTACGGTTGGCATGTACAGTACCATTAACCATGCGTTTTTAACAGGCACTCAAGGCAAGTGTAGTTCCCACTGTTATGAAAAATTGAAATGTTATT